TTTTTTCTAATAGATGGACATACATGTGTATCTTAAAACGTAACCAACTTGACTTTAAATATTATCCTTCATTGTGTCAATTTGACATCTGACTGTTCAAGAAATAATTGTTTTAGAAAGAGAAAAGGCACGATTTCGTTGACAAATTGACTCTGTCAAGCCAGATTTACACGATACTCTCAAAAGGTTGTAAAATGTTTTAATACAATACGCGGTACTTGATTAAAATCTTTAATCGTTAAATAGTGCATTCTTTATTTCATAATATTGTCTAGTTAGCTATGGCTAAAAATTTCAAAATTTTTTAGTTGACGATATTTACTTTATTTTATTTATTCGAAACATTTAAAGCACTCTGGGTCACCCATCGAGGAAACAATCTCCGATCACAGGCGATCAAAAGGTGGCAATCAAAGTGTTGATAATTGTTTGTTTAGCGTCGATCAAAATGGTAAATCAAAAAGGAAACACTTCCGTCGTATTTTGCTGTACTACTTCAAGAAAAAGAAAGGAACGCCGCACAAACTCATAAAAAATTAACGTGTATGTATATAACTGCGGTAGTGTCAGAATTGGTTTGCTAAATTTCATACATCAAACTCGATAATTTGATAAATTTCACTACGAGACATCAAATCGTTCTTGAAACTTTTTCTTGTCAAAACAGATAAGAGTTCTTTTGAACGCGGAGGTTGCCCGAAAGATGGCGGAAGATAATCGAACAAAATGGTCAATACATCAACCCTTTGCACTCGACTGTCCCCTATAATGGGACATCATACTTAAATTTAGCTAACAACTAAAATTATAAAATTTCTTATAATTGCTGACAATTATAATGAACGTAGGCGCATGGTACTGCATGATATGTTATATATAATACAACGTAAGAGGAATAATAAAATTACAAAAGAAGAAATTCTTGAAAACAGAGGCAATCTGAGTTAGTTGACACTCATTGTCATCGAACACACTCATTAAATTATTATTAATAATTCGGGATATAATTCACACAAACTAAGCTTTTCATTGCTTCTTACGAAAGTTTATAAAATGGTGGAGGAAAAGTTTTTCAATTTTACAAAATTGAGATTATGTATCATTAACCTCTATATACTATACTTGCCGATTGCTTTAAACGATGTCGTGTTATTAAAGAAATATAATCAACAAAATTTCATGCTAAACCATTTAAACAGAATGATTATTTCCAATCATTATCATTCGCGATTATCATACGGCGTATCATTTTATTTGAAGTGATGCTTCACTCACTATTTCGTAAATAAAGTTTCTGTTTCTCTCTGAAAAATTTGCCTTTAATCTGGGCACGAAAAAAAAAACGTCACTTTTTGGTCAAACTAGTAGTATCAATCAACTCTCATTTTCCCCGAAGCAAAGTTCCACTCTTCCAGGTAAATTCGGAATTCCGATCATCCCTGTTGGCACAATAGGAGCGCGACCGGAAGTGGTGGAGGAAAAACCAGGGACCATCAAATGCGACATAGGTGGCATAAATTATGAAACTAACGGGAAATCTAGAGATGCATTACTAGCGATATTCCATTGGCCGGGCAGGCACGGGATAATCCTGCACCCTCGACGTTTATTGCCCCTCGAAAAGCCAGCGCAGGTAATCTCCGCAGCTTCGGCTGGCACGCGAGTCGAGCGCCCATAACCATTAACAAATCTTGTAACCTAGCACGAAATAAAGTGCTCTCCTCTCGTGAATCGGCCGTTTGATTCCAATAGCTGGCGGGGGCTGCTTTTATGGAAGCAAGCGGAGATAGATGAAGGGGAAACGCACAGTGGCCGCAAAGAACGAAGAGGAGACGATAGAAAATCGTACAAGAAAGAACGTTGTATAGTGTGTGTATGTGTGTGTGTATGCGTGTGTGTGTGTGTGTGTGTGTGTGCAAGCTCGTGCCGCAAGGGTATTGTAGGTCTCCTCTCGCGACTCGAACAGTGCACACACCACCACCGAAGGGGCAAAGAGAGAGAGAGAACTCTTCTGTGCCTCCAATTCGGAGGGGGCATTATGATCGTCCAACGTAATACGATCTGGCCAAACTTCGGATAAACATACACGCCCCTGGTACGTACACGGTCTGACCTGAGAGACCTGCCGCTCCAATCAATTTCAGCAGACTGAAACGGAAGGGAATTATCAGATTGATGGCTCGCTTCTGGATTTCAGGGTGTGCCGAAGAGATCGTTACTCGCGTGTTTTTTGGTTTCCAACCTCAACTGTTGGTTCAGCGCGAGGCTATCTGAAAGCTTTGGTTGGTTTCCCGAAGGAGGAAAGGATTGCAATTCAAAAGTTAACCACCAGCTCGAAAACAGCTTCAACGTTTTATTCCCCCACCCCCTTTTTTTCCCCAGGAATAACGTCGATCATCGAGCAACTTGAACGTCACCATCGTCAGCGAGAAACAACGCGAGTCGCAGAGGCCACGAGAATTAATCGTCGTGCGTCGATCTGTGGAAAAGGGGAAAAGAGGAGCGATCGACGCGGGGCGAACGCGGTTCACAAAGGAGAGACAAATTGGCGGTGTAGGTGCTCCGATTATTAAAGCCAAACGCCTGACCCGAAGCGATACATGCACACACAGCCCGATTGTGCCCGAGTGTTGTAGCAGCCGGAGCTAGAGGGTAGAAGAAAGGGGGAAAAAGTCGGATAGCACCGAATCGACAGAAGCTTTTTGGGTAAAAGGCGCCACCCTTCGAGCGTCGAGTTCTCCTCCGTTGAAGGGGCTGTTGGCCCGACAGAAGCCAAGGAAAGGCGTGTCGGGTTACCGGCTAACCCCGGGGGTAACCGCGAGCCCCACCTAAGCCCATAAGCGTACACGTATTTGCGCGCCCCTTCGTATAACTCATTGCGAAGGTCACAAATTTCGCCCGAAGGCTGCGGTACGATCCGAACACCACCTATGTGGATGATCCTACCTGCTGCCGTTCCCCCAACCCAGATACATCGGCCGACCGTTGGCCGAAAGGTAACAAGATGTAAATTGAGACGCGTTTAGAAAGGATATACTGTTAATTAGGGTTACTCCGTACGTCGCGTCGACCTGAACATATTGCGCGGCGAGGATTCGCGGCTACGTGAAATTCTCTGCAATTTGGAGGTCTGAGGTTCTCGCGAGTACATCAAACTTGTGTAGAGTGACAGTGTGTCTTGGCTGACACTTGCCGCGTTTGTTTAATTGTTTGAAGGATCGTTGCCAGACACCGCTTCTTCTTTGATACAATTGCAAAGAAAAAAAAATACCAAGCAGCGTGATCGCGTTCATTTCCTTGTTTGTAACAGTTTCATCAGTTTCATTAAAACGATTCATTAAAATACTCGTCGCGAGACTGATTTGTGTGAAATAAGAAAGATATATCCCCAGTGAGACAGTAAGATTTCTTGAAATATTTAGTGAGATCCGCGTCGTGGCAAACTTCGAAGACAAACTCGCATCCCTCGAATTCATTTCCCAGCCAGCTGTACTACAAACTCGACAATGGTCGACAAATTACCGAAAATATTAAATTACACGAGTTTTAGTCTTCGAGAGACTCGTCCGCGTAAAAATAAGCGGACCTTTCTAGGTGGTCAAGTAGATGGAGAAATCAAGACGAGCTCGTGTTCGTCGACATTTTGTATCGGGGCGAAGCTCAGGGCCGATTCAAGGAACCGGGGCCCTCGCGTCCCGGGTCTCGGAGAGACAACTCGAAATCCATCCCGAAGATACGACCGACCCATCGTCCAGCCTGAGTGTATATCGATGAAAAAGAAACAAAAAAAGAGGAGAAACTGAATCAAGAAAAGAGAAGAAAATATCCTCGTGTCTCGGGTTTCACGGTACACGATACAAAGTTGACGCTAACGATTGCTGACAATACGAAAGGCGACCGACGCTCGACCGCATTGTAACGGCCTTCTATTAGCACAGTCAACGAGATACAAGAGCCGGATCGCTCTAGATACCGCATCTGAATGACAGATAATCGGCCACCTTTCGGTTTTCTCCGGTCTTTCGATTAAAGATTCTATTTCCTTTTTTTTTTTCTTTTTTTTCTTCTTCTCTCCCTCTCTTATCATCTCGAAGAGGAGGAGCTCGCAAGCTTCTCAACAGGTTTTACAGGTTTCGTTGTTTGTTTCGTTTCGTGGAATTTTATTGTTGCCCGTTGCAACAACGTGCGAGATTTACTGTTCTATTTCTGTCTCTCGCGTTGTTGCAGAAAACGGCGCGTCGATGGAAGAGAAATTGCAACGGGGTATAAAATAAAAATTTCTTGGAAATGGGCGAAGAATCGACTGATGCCCGGCTGTCATCGAGACCGAACGAAGAGAGATAAAGAAAAGGCTAAACCTCCGTGTCATCAGAGTTCATCGACGCGCGGATTACAATCGAACGCTTTGCTCGGGAAGGGGGAAGGGGGAAGGGGGGGTTGATGTCGTGCAACGGTAATTCCATCTGTGACAAATGAGTCCGCTGCATATGTGTCTGTAGATGGACGCGTATAAACCAACAAGACTGCATTTGCCTTTTTCTCTTTTGGAAAGTGTAACGTCAAAAAATTAGAAGAACACGTACGGCTTTGCGCAATGAAAAATTCGACAATCTCCAGCGATCGGTAACTCAATTCTTTGATATACCTACTGACACGTATCTCACCAACAGGAAAGAGCACCGTGATCCAAACCTGACGAAAATTCCGTCCACAGTTCAAAAGGACGTGATCCACGAATCGATAATTAAACACGATATATATATACACACACACGTTTCCCTAACTCCGTCTGCAGTTTCAAAGGGACGCAACGTCCGCCAAAGGGAAAAGGTCCTAAAAAACAGGAGGAAAAAAAAAAAAAAAACGAGAGTTGACAAAAGGCCGAAAAAGTTTGGTCGGGTCGTGGTGTTTTTTAACCGCGTAAATACAGATAGATAGATAGATGGATAGATAGATAGATAGATAGATAGAGAGAGAGAGAGAGAGCTGACTCGACCAACCTTTATGTGGCATCTTCCAGAAGGGCGGTTCGGGGGTGGGCGAGCAAGGGTTAGCCACCCCCGCGCCCAACAGCGTTCTTGCCGCGTGCAGCGCCGCCGCCGCCGCTTCCCTGCTCCGCGCTGCCGTAGCACTTGGCGGGTAATCCGAAGCGCTGTCACTCGCGGCAATGCCGCCACCGCCACCGCCGCCTCCGCAAGGACGAAGGTGCAGGTTCAGCCGACCGCCGCCGACCGTGCCACCACCTCCACCGCCTCCTCCGCCGCCGCCGCCGCCTCCGCCACCGCCGCCACCTCCGGCCACGCTAACACAGTGCTGCAAACAACAAGCCAACCCGTTATCCACCGTTAATTCATAGGCTCGCGGACAAACGACCGATCGACCCCGTCCGATCCAACGTCTTCGAGTCTTGAAAATACATCATCCGAACGTTTCTACTTCTTCGTCAGTCGAATTCGTTTCTTTTAACAACGTGAAGCGACCCACGAGGCGTGGCTCTCGGGGGTTTGTTAAAGTTCGTTGTTTAATTGACGAATACAGCCGGTGGTTAGAGTCGTAATTGAAACGCACGTATGAGAAACAATTGACTCGCAACGAGATCTCGGTAATCCTTGTTCGACAAGAACCGAAAGAGTAAAATTTACAATTTTGGCAAACGGAGGAGTACATGTACGCGGTACAACAAATGCAAAACTACTACTATCGGTCATCGGTTTGTTCTGTAATACGACAAATTAACAGAAAAAAAAAAAAAAATGAGATTGTTGCCAAACAATTCAAATTTACAATGCGTTTGAGAAAAAGAATTCGATGCCATTACGTCCGTGCTACGATCAACCCTGCTATGCCACCCTACTATGCTATATATAAATTTTTCTACCTCGCTTTCATAAATTTTTCATCGAATGCGGAAAGCATTTTCATTTCTATGTATATTTACGCGTTGTTAATGAGGATTCTTAATAGAGAGAGGCAGCACTCCACTGTGCAGAAAATCCACTAAAAATGACAAAAGTTGCGGGGAAAATAAGGAAAATAACGATAGCGTCGCAATCTTATAATAACAGCAGTGACAACAGGAAATCACAAGGACACAGAAGGCTAATGCATAAGATTTACAAGCGAAAGCTTGCACACGCCGCTGTTTCACAGGAACAATCCTCCTCCCTCCCTCTCCTCCCTGGTGTTTATTCATATCAAACGAAGCACACGCTTCCGCCTTCGAGCTTCTGTTTCCACGAACACTCGCCGCTGCTTCTCGTCTATCGTTTTTGTTTCACTTCGCGTTTGAAATAAAGCAAACTAACTTCGTTATAACGTACGATGATTTTTTTTCAGCAAGCCAAACATACATATGTATCAGATTCGAAACACAGCGAAATTACCTGTTTTAATGGAGGAAAATCACAGAAGAGAGGAGCACCATAAGTACGTATATGTTTTTGATAATATTTCCGACATTTTATGATGAAGCAAGAATATTTTAACCCTTTGCATTTGATTGTTCTGAGAGAGGACATAGTACCTAAATTCAGCCAACTTTCTCGTTTTATAATTTTCTGATAATTATAATAATCGTACGTACGCTTGGTGTTGCATGATGCGATGTGTAATAGTGTAACATCTGAATAGAGCGAAAACTCTATTGTATAATAACGACACAAGGAGAAAACAAAAACATTTGAGAAGAAGAAATTTCTGGAGACAGTCCTTTGAGTCTGTCTATAAATTCACACAAATTAGACTTTTTACGAAAGTTTGAAAGATGATGGAGGATATTATTTTTCTAGTTAATGAAACTATGTATCATTGATAACTGTTGTATATTACACTTGTTCTAGCAATGCACGTTGATGGTTGCTTCAAATTTAATAAACATCACACATTAGAAAAATATAATCAACAAAATCTCGCGTTAAATACCATTCGAATGATTTATTTCCAGTGCAGTGTCATTTGATTTGAAGTGATGGACTGATAGACGATGAATGAAGAAAATTTTCGAAAAGACGTAAGTTTTTTAGAAGTGGAACTCCAAGTCAAAAAATAATTTTGATCAACAACCGTACATACATTGAACTTCTCTCCCCCCCCCCCCCCCCGGAGGTGGTCTTCATTTACTGAAAAATTTATAGTTTCAAGAGCAAGGAACCAAACACTTCCATAAAATTGCTTCTTCGTGCCCCGCAAATAATACTTCCATCGCGAGTAAAACACTCTGTTTTACCATTTCCTCCGCGATTTTCAACCAGGAGAAAAAAAAAAAAAAAAATCAAAACGCCCCGCGAATCTCGTTTCGCTTGAAATTCCACTTTGACGAGGCACGGCGGCGTGGCACCACACAGTCACGAGCCGACGCGAACGAACGTCTCGGATGGCTTTCGTTAAAACTTAATTTCGACTCGAAGCTGGCGATTAAGCGGGCCGTTGAAAACACAAGAATTACGTGTCAAGTGGCCTCCGATGGATTAAACCCGGATGGAGAAACGGTTAACGTTTGAGCAGACTTTTTTTCCTTTTCCCTTCTTCCTTCTTCTTTCACCCTCTGGGGGTGAAAACGGGCTGACTTTAAACGAGCATTCCGCAATTTACCGTCGCCGGACCGGAGAGAAACAGCGCAAAGAAGCGTATTTCCTCGGACCGTTCGCACCTTCGCACACTCTTTCAAACGGGGCCCCGATCCGCCGTGATCGTTGCTCAGTTTCAATGCGAACACGGGCGTCGCGCGTGCCTCGCGCCGACATTCAGTGAGAAAAGCTGAAATACATCGTTCCTTCCTTCGCCTCGCCAGCGCGAGACGTTTCCCGAACAATGGCCGTTGTTGGCCAAGCGGACGGACGTGAAACGGTTGGTTATTATTACAAAACGCCGCTGGGATTTCATCCAACCTGCGCCCGCTGTCGGCGAGAGACTTTTTTCGTTGGCACAGATTAATTAAAAGCAGGATGTTGCGTACTGATCAAGTGGAAGGTGATCACCGTGTATTGTGCGATCTCGAGGTCCTGAAAGCTACACACGTGAAGGTATCGCGTTTGATGATGAGGTGCGTGCGATCGTTAAGAAGGAAGAAATATTTGTACATCTTCGTTTCATTCTTCCCTTTCTCATATGCCCGTTTTTCGTTTTTCTTCTCAGGGTGTGTTTGAAGTGGGAAATAATCTAATTTGTAATAACGGGTAATAATCTGTATAATTATCAACAGGTAACACACGATATAAGAAAAACGCAAATGAAAATGTCTATCAAGCGATCGATTATAGAAAGAAAAATAATTTTTACGAAAATAACATAGCTAATTATCAATTTAACGTCAAGGAAACAGTGCGCAGGGATAACTTTCGTCGGATAAGAAAGTATATATTTTCATCCATTTTATACGAGAGTTAAATGAACGAAAGGAACAAGAATTTGAAAACTCTTGAATCGGTCGGTGTTGATACGTTTACTGTCAAGTTATCGTATCGTTTTTTTAATTTTCTCTGGGCCGTTTCTGCCCAGTGAGAATCGTGTCAGATTTGCAAACGAGAAAAGTCCGCAGGTTTTGGGAAACGCGACAAAAATGTCGTCTCGTAAATCCGTCGGCTCGATAATCGCGAGACATTAAAAGCACGCGTGTAAAACGTTCGAAGGGGGGAGAGGAAAAAAGGTGGAAATTCGGTCCGGGGGGGGGGGGGGGTTCCCGCGTAAAGGCAGATCAATGTTTCCGCGTGAAACGCATCGGAGCGCCGGGACTATCAAAAATAACCGGCCCGATATTGTTGCGAGCGATTTCATAAGCCAACGGTAAATCACGAGAACTCGATTTGATCTCTGTACTTTCGCCACGCTCTTTCGCGTGCCCTTCCACGCATACAAAACGGTGGCCGCTTCAAAGAACATAATTCAGGGGATTATCGCGCGCGCGAGCGGGACAAATATTGGCACCGGTCGAAACTGGTCCGCCGGTAAAGCAAATTTCAAAGTGCAACAGAAAATAAATAACGCCGCGGCGAATAATAAACATCGGCGGCTGTCGGCGGTAAATTTTTTTTTTTTTCATTTTTCCAAACTTGATTAAGCTCCTACCCCCCCCCCCCCTCCGCACCGCTCTCGCATAAATTTATTTTCGAAAGTTGCGAAATCGGGGAAAGCCCGACGCGTTTCACGCGAGCCGAGAGAGAAATTTTCGTGTCGCACACGTTCGCGATTATTAGATTATTGTCGTTAAATGACATCGTTTGGCGAAGACTTGCCTATCGGCTGCAACGCGCAAAACGGTCGAATATCGTCGCGAGACGTGACAAATTATTTCAGGCTTATTCAAGAATTTACGAATTTTGAGGTAAATTTAAGTTTACACGCGCAGAAGAATAACAGGTGAAAGAGCGAGCGATTTCAAGGGAAAAGGGACAACTTTCGAAGAGAAACTAAATATGCACCGCGATGCCGTGTCCGCAGGATTACATTCTAGCCCACTTACAACGCCAGCGAAACGTCACATGATGCGCGCAGTTCGAACGTTGATCAGCGTGTGCTGACGCACGAAATCGTTTGTTCCGCTGAAAGCAAGAAGAGCTTTTACTATCGAGCGTGTAATTTAACTCTTGCACAGGCCGAGATGGTTGCGGTCAGCACACGGTGTTTACACCGGCCGGTAATATGTTCTTTGGCGATCGGCATTGATATATACACGGCTCTCGGTCCGAAGGCGAGCTTACAACACGCGACGACGCGCGCGGCGCGGCGCGGCGCGGGCACGCCGCAACAACACCTACGCGCATTCCACCGTCGCTTTCGTTCATCACGGTTAATCACGCCGCGGTTACGATGAGTGTTAATTATCATTCGGTCCGCTTCGTAGATCATTAGCTCCTTTCATCCGCGTCGCGGGCAACGTCACGGCGAAGGGGGTCACTGGACGCCTATAGACGACGATCCGGGGCTCGATCGAAAATGTGCAAGCCGTGTGTGTGTGTGTGTGCGTGTGCGTGTGCGTGTGTGTGTGTGTGTGAGTACACCGTCGGCTGATTATAGGTTACCGCGCATTGTACCGCCGCTAAACACACCGCATTTACTTCGAATAGCTCGGCCATCAGATTATGAAACGTAACACGCGCTATTTGTCGAGTTCTCATTGGCTCCTGCTATTGAAACTCTGTTCCACAAAACTCGCCGATGGAACATTCACGCGCGAATCAAAAAGTACAGTTATCACCTCGGTCTCCTATGAATTTCTTCTTCTTCTTCGTTTCTTATTCCTTCTCATCGCATTGACAGCGAGGCCATTAGCGACGATGGTGGAATTGATACATGCGTGTAGTAGTTTGTGTTTTCGACACGTCATTTTGAGAACTCAGGTTTACGTTTGCGTTAATTTCGTGTTTCTGTCTTTGGTGTGGCATTCATGGCAGAATGTGCGTGGTTATTGCAATGGCTGCAGGTGGGACCAGTTCTTAGGCGTGCGATAATTATTCCTTCTTTCCTGTTGCTAAGGTTTGGTGTTTGTTGGTGAAAGTCTCGGATACTTTTGTGTAGTCGTCTGCTTTTAGTTGTGATCCATGTATTGTTCCATTCATTTTTTATTACTCTTTTGCTGTGGATTATTTGGTTTTCGAATTGGAAGATGGTTGCGATTGTTAGTAAGTGAGGAAACTGTAACTTCTTTCGCTGCTGCGTCGACTTTTCCATTTCCTTATATTCCTTGACGAGCTGGAATCCAGATGACTGTAGCTTCTGTATTAGGTTGGTTGTGGTTTAGCTCTTGGATGGTGATTATCTTGGTCATATGATTTCGTTAAGGATTTTGTAACGCTCATGACGATGGAGAGGGGAGATTTTTCTTGTCTTTTTTTTCTGTAATAATGGCGTATCCAACTCCAGTGTCCATTTCTGACCCGTCAGTGTAAATCTTGCTGTGGACGTAGCTGTTGTTTAATTCTAGGAATCGGGCGCCTATGAATTTCGGGTCAGAAACGGACGAAAATATTCGACCTTTCCCCGAGGGCGGGGGAAATTCCTTCCGATCAAAACGATCTCCAATTTCCGAGAGGGAACGAAAGAGAAAACGCGAGAAAATTAATCGACGCGAAGATGCGCGAATGTGCCGTTCGGTGAACCGAGATATGACGCGGTCCGTACCATCCAAACCAGGTTACCTACGTCAACCGCACCACCTGCAAGTACGTTTAAATTTCTCGTAGAAATTAAATCGGCGCAAAGTTTACTAATTACTCGGTTCCTTCGGTTCCCTCTAACGCCGCGCGTTTAGACGAATCTGCGACACATTAAATTACTTCGTTTCGTCAGCCAGCCAACCTGAGACGACGCTTTGCGCCGTAGAGAAGAAAAAAAAAAAGAAAAAAAAAAAAAAGAGAAAAAAGAAAAAGGTAAAATTACAGCGCGCGGCGGGAACGCGCGTTTCGTCCCGGCTTTCTCCCCCGTCGTTCGCGACGGGAACGCGAAAAAATGAGTTTCAAAGCGACGGCGAGCGACGCGTAACGACATCCTCGACGCTCGATTTGCAATTAGACGCAGGCGAGTACACGCGCCTTTCCCCCTTTCGAGGCGAAAATTCAGCTTCCCGGTAAAGAAAACGAGGAAAAACGAAGTGAAAAAATAAGGAAAAAAAGAGAAGTGTTTCGCGATCCCGTGGCCTCGTTAAAGGCCGCGGAGAGTATTTTTGTGCATTAACCTAATGCCTGACTAATTTCCGGTTCAGGGCGCACGGTAAATAAACACGAAATTACGAACCCTCTGTTCGGAGGGCCGTCGGATGCAGAACGCGAGGAAGGAAAGCGAGGAAACGAACCGCGACTACTCTCGTTAAAAGCATACGACCCGCGGAGGAGGAGGAGGTGGGGGCCTAACTTCCTACGACACTGAGCGCCACATCTCTCAGACAGGTTGCATCTCATTAGGCGGAATGAACGATAACTTCAAGACAAAATACCGTCGGCAAACAACACTTTCCACGCGTGTAATAAACGGTGTAAAAGACCTCTCCGACGCGTGGAAAATAACTCCTATTTCTCCGTTCGCTCGGTCCTCCCCAGCAGGGAATATATTATTCTCTCTGTGCGTACGCGCGCACGGAGATTAAAACTAAATCGTCGGGTCGGGCGCGTCGTGGATTTCTTACACGGGTGCGAGAGAGACTCGGGCAAATTTTTCATCTCGAACGAGATGAAACTCTGTGCAGAGTTTGGAATAGTTTCGGACACGATCAGATTTAACAACCGGGAATCATCGGGAATTGACTCGATAGTTTGTGGATTGTGCAGAGTAGCTGCTGGTTTGCGACTCGGTCGAAGGGGAGGGGACAAAAAAAAAAAAAAAAAGAAAGAAAGAAAAAAAAAGGTGCAGGGAATTAGTACATAATTTGGATCGGTAAATTCTCCGCGACAGGACGACGGTTGTCTGTTGAGCCTGGAGCGGTTCAAGCACGACAAAGGGCTTTACGTGAAATCTCGGGAGGTACGCGGAACCGTTTCTTTGTCGAGCACTCGAGAGAGCAACGAGGGGACATCTGTTATTTTCCGAGATTGTATCACTTTCAATGAGAGCGCGCGCGCTCGCGCGATGTTTCTTTTTTTCTCTGGTGGACTCTGGGGGCTCATTCGGCAGACGAGTCAGCGTTTCGTGTAAAAATAATAAAGGTGGACAGGTGTTGGCTGTGTGTCCGCGCGCCATAGTGGGCCCGCGATCCCTAATTCCACCAACGACGTCATAAATTATTCATAAAGGGAAAAATTTTGTTTTATTCGTTCGAAATATACTGGCACGTTCGAGGGCGCGCGCAAGCGAAATTTTGAAAGTATAATGAGATGAAAATATCGCCCCGACGGAAGCTCAATCAACGCGAAACGGCGCGCCGTACGGAGGATTCCAACCAACCCGCCGACGTCGTTCCACAATTGATTTAACCGCGTGTTGTTCTTTCGCGAGAAGACGTCTTTCCTCGGAAGAGATGAAACCCCAATTGCTATTCAATCGCTATTCATAACGTACGTCGAAAGTTATTCACTGATGATGATTTCTCAGAGTACGTTACGTTAGACAATTGGTACGTTCGACAACTGTTTTTCAACTGTCTCGGCTAAACTACTTTACCGGCATCGCGTTACAAAAGCCGCGCGAAAGCAACATTGTTTCAAACTCTGTCTACGCATTCGGCCACACGAACCGAATGTATACACAATTTGATCGACTAGTTCCTCGAAGTTGAACTTTTAATCTTCTCTCAATTCTTCGGAGAATAGACTTTTCCTCTTTTTTTTCTTATATATATAAATGACGTAACGTGAATAAAAAAATTTTTGTCGTTCGTCTCCCCAAAGTTTTGCCGAAAACAATTTCGGCGGAGAACTTTACAGTCACGGCCGATATCTCGTTTATCTTAATTTCAACGAATCACCGCGAACAACCTTAATTTTCTCTCCCGATTTCGCGTGGAAGGTAATTGGGATGCTCGGCAAATTTTCGTCGGTAAATAACAAAGCGTGGCGGCCGCATTATTTAATCCGGCCAACGGTATAAAACCCCCGATGCAATTCACTTTCAATTGACAGCGGTTTTTTCCGCGATCACAATAAGCCACCGGAGTGTTAACAGTACCATTGTGGCACGCGCAATTTACGGCCAAGCGCCATGGCCCGTCGTGATTTCAAGTTATTACGTTCCATTCTTGTTTATTGCAATTTTTCACGGGGCGGATTTGCGCGGCCAAGGGGGAGGGGAACGAAAGAAAAGATTTATTTCAACGCTGACGATTCGGAACGAGCAATCAGTTTCACTGGATTAAAGCGTAGAACGAGGTAGGTATAGACATCACTTACGGCTACGGCAGTTGCAAGGTACTTTGCTTAGAGGATTTACCGCTCGTAGAAATGCACTTCCTTTTGCAACCTCGATTCGATTGTTTGGTATTTCCGCAAGTTATTAACGTTCCTCGCGGGACGCGAGTAATCGTGACTGGCTCGCGACTGTCACAATAGAGATCGCGTACTGTCAACGAATGACTTTCAATAAAAACATCGGCTATCTTTAGTATAAAACTATCTCTGAGAGTGAGACTATAGAAATTGATATTCGCGTTGCAAAAGAATGCGAAACGTTTCTCCATTTACTGCACTTTTGTACTTTTCAAAAATAAATTAGTCGGAGAATTAACCTTTCGCGAACCGGTGGCGACGATCCGTCGGCAACCACCGACACGAAACTTTCGAAAAAGAAAAAGAAAATCGTTTTGCGAGATGAACAACGTTTTTCAATTTTCTCATCATAAAACATTAGACACGTATATCGTTCGTTTCCTAACGTAACTACATTTATTAAAAAAAATCACAACTTTACGAAACGATCTTGGTATTCATCCGACTGATTGTGAGTCTCGCACACGGAACAAATTTTTAAATATCGCGCTTACATTCGACTGAACGAAGAAAGACGCAAGAAGCGGCCAACTGCTTGATTTGTACATTGTGACGTCAGTTATATTAAACGCCAAGCAAATGTGGCTAAACGGTTTCCGATACCAGAGAACAATAAAAACTTATTGCAAGGATCCATGTTCGTTGCAACATTGCGCGTTTCAACTCTACTCTCTCAATAGTGTTGCGTGGAACGTCTCCGTGAGCATTGACGACGTTTGCGTCGGAAACACATCGAAATCTATCGATCGATTAAAGCTAAATAAACGTACCGTGTCGAGAATGGCCGTGGTCAGGCCGGATCCAGTCACCAGCTAAAAGCACAATCCGCAGCTACGTGTCTCCGCGGGATGTTCACAACACTTTTCGAACGCAGCTCGACCAACGGTACTGTTCGAGCGGCTCGACTCGCCACGATTTCATAAACAGACGTATCTCGTTGTACCGTTGACGTATGCAGACAGATTACGCAGAGATCTTCTTTGGTTAAGGAACGGTCTCACTGATCACTTAGAATTGCACAGTTTTCAAACGCAAGTGGCGCGAAGTACTTGAATAACGGTATTTCACCACTGCAGCCAGGCTGCGAATCGATCGAGATATTTTGCGAATCGGCACAGGAAGAAATCAACGACGACGACGACGACGACGACGACGAGATGATGGCGATGATGGCGATGATGGCGATGACGGTGATGACGACGATGACGATGACGACGACGACGACGACGGCAATAACGAACGGTTTGTCGGTTGTACGGAAACACGAGCGAGAGTTTTCGGTGGTCAGCAGTGAAGGACGAGGCTCGACGGAACGTGAAGGAATGACTGGCGTCGCGAGAACTTGGCTCTCTAGCATCGGCAACGGATCTAGCAGCAGCAGCCTGGGTAGCAAGGTTTACGGGCGGTCGAGTCTCGTGTACCGTGTTTGTCGGTCGTTATCGCGGCAAGCTGACCAAGGAAGAACGAGAAAAGGACAATCGTAAACGGTGAGCGTCGGTGAAGAGGAAAGAAACACGTGCAACTCGAAAACAGGGGTGCAGTGACGCGTCACTGCTGCGGTGCGCGGCGCCCGATTGACCATCAGAGTCTGCCTTCCTTCATGCGAAGATCCCTGCCGCACGATTTCGGCACCCCCACCCCTTCAGCTCAACACACTCCCGTACGAACCCGTACCCGACCGTCACCCTCTCTCTCACTCTCTCTCTCTCTCTCTCTCTCTCTCTCATCTATCCGGCCGCCTCTATCCTCTCTCTCTCTCTCTCTCTCTCTCCCTCTTGCCGATTTCTCTTTCCAACGACAGGGGCTCGGGCCAGTCCGCGGGGTTCCTGCGCCGCCGGGCAAAGTCGCCGAAGCCGAGGTGGCTCCGAGAGACCGTGCACAGCGTCCCGTTCCGCCTGAGCGTGCCTCCATGGGTGGAGCTAGCGAGCGGCACAGGCTGTGTGGCGTGGTCCTGCCTCGCTGCTATCCTCTTCGCCCTCGTCGCGTACCCTCATCGCTTCGCACCAACATCCCCTACATATTATATAGTGGGGGAAATCGAACGAGCAACATCGTGCGACGTCGCAACAGTTCCGCGGACCCTTCACCGGTTCAGCCGGTGTAGAGGTATAACCTCGGCGCGCCACCACCGCGAACCCCGCGCGCGGCGGCTGCTGGCTTTCCACCACGACGACGACGACGACGAGACGAGGATCGTGGAAATGGGCGGCGCTTGACGGAGGTGGTGCCCCTTTGTCGTTGGACCGCGCCGCACGACGCCATTGTCCGTTTGTCGGCGCGGCACCGCGCCGCGTGTGCGCAACGCACGCCGACGCACGCCGACGCACGCCGACGCCCGCCGCCGCGACGCCACTCTCGCACGCAACGCCGTCGCGGCCGTCGTCGTCGTCGTTGTCGTCGTCGTCGTCGTCGTCGTCGTCGTCGTCATCCTGCCTCTTTTCTCTCTGCACCTTCCCAGCCAAGCCACCAGCCGCTCGAATTTCTACGCCGAGAGAGGTAAGTCGACGATCCGGTACGTATGTGCGCGCTTATTTCTGTGTGCGTGCGTGTGTGTGTGCGTGTGTGTATGTGTGTCTACATGTATCACGTTGCTCTTCTACGCGTGTACCTGTGTGTACCTATGTACGTACATGTACGTATACAAGGGTGTGTGTGTGTGTGTACGTACGTGTGTCGCGCACTATACCACGTTTACTTCCTCTCCTTCCTCACTGTTTTCTTTTTTTCTCTCTGTCTTCCGTCTATGTAATGCGTGCAACTGTCATATTTGCTGCGTTACATCTCCGCAGACTATCAGTTTTTGTAACGTATGGACACCTTCTGTTTCTTCCCTGACTATGCCCGAACCAATATCCTTTTCACGCAGCGTGAACGAGTATCTCAAAAAGGGATGCGATTTGGAAGCAACTGAAGAACAGTGTCGGTCGTCGACTGCCACCTATGCACACATGCTCGTACTCGCGAGCCACCCAGATTTCATCCTTCGTGGAACACTCTGTTACAGGTAACTGACAGGTTCTACTTGTGCATTTTACTCTCGTACTTATTCGGCTGGACAGAGACATTTTCCTTTCGTCTCTTTCGTCTATGACAATATACACGTTCTTCTGTTCGTTTATTGCATCATCCAATCCACGAGATTTCACATCTACGGAATTTACACCGTGTCGTGAAAGAATTGCAAGCGTACGCGCGCTAGAATTGTCCGAAACACGTTCGATCGTATCGCGAGGTCGACGTCGTTTCGCCGCAGAGAACAGGTGGCTGCAATTACGTTCCAATTATCTGTACGTTTAATTCTCGTCCGAGGCGAGACGGTTCAGGCGTTAATTCGAGAGCGTGTACTTCACGGGGGAAAAAAAAGGAAAGGGGAAGAGAAAGAAAAACAAGAGAGAGAGAGAGAGAGAGAGAGAGAGAGGATCGTTACCAATGGCAAGCGCAGCGTGTCAACACCCTTAACCGGCATAATGGATCGCGACAGAGTAGTGTCGCGCTTGGCATTTCGGCTATAAATTTTCCAACGATTGTTCCTTCCGTTCGGCTCGACGCATAGAAAAAGAAAAGAGTGGAAAAACAGACGAATCTCCTGTAGCCGTTAATTATTTTCGAGCAGGCGAGAAATGCTTTCTTCAGCGCGTGGCCCGATTTTTCGCCCTACCGATCGTCGCTTCCACATTCCCGTCTCGTTGTTCAGCGCCAGCTGGCTGATTTAATATTAATTGTCATTTATAACGAACAGTTTTTTTTCCACCCCTCTGCCTTCTTTCCTCTCTGTCGGCTCGTTGATCTCATTGAATATTCATATTTGTTCGCGTTGTCGCAGCGTGTCTCTTTGCGTTCGTCAAATGGAACGTTGAAATGTTGGAATTAGCTTACGGAAAAGAAGATAATGATAATCATCCGGTGTCGGTACGATAATGTAAAAAAAGAGCAAAGTAAAGATTTTTCTTAAATTATATTTAAGCTATATTTTTATTTTATATTTTATTCTATATTTTAAGCTATATTATATTTAGCTATGGCAGACTTTGATACGTACCGCACGTGGCAGAGATTCGGCAGAAGTTTAATCGTAGTTTACCTACACTGAGAACGGCGAAATTTTTCGTGTCAGCGTGCATTTTCTCAGAAATAATATTGAAATAATCAAAACATTGAATTGCACTACGTTGAACCAATAATATTTATTTACTCGTATTAAATTCTGTATTAAATTGTCAGTGCACGTGCTAAAAGTTTAACAGTTTAACTTTAAACTTTATCTTACGATATTTTCTAATGATTTAGTAAGGTATGGATACGCTTCGAAACATCCTTCTTCTGTTATGTTTTCTACACACTATACATTTCCGTCTTTTTGTGATTAATTCTTTTTGTGATCGCCACACCTTTCATTTCAAATGATAAGGTTTTCATTGAAATAAAATTTCTCTGTGAGATTAATCGCTGTAAGAAATAATGTACCACTAACGGTAGATTAGAATGTTGAATTAGAATTCACTTGTGTTTGATCCAAGTGAGGTTTGCTGCAATTATCGTCGATAACATTTGCCGGGCGCTTATCAGGCGCCTTCAGTTTGATTCAAGCAATGCAAAAAGCTGAGCGCCTATAGGTGCCTTTCGTCGTTTCAGCGGACCGAAATAAGTTGGGCGCCTATAGGCGCCAACAATAGACAAGGGATTAACTAGACATTTCTAGAACAAACAATTAATTGCTAGATCGATGTTTAAAGTTCTTTACTTATACAGTGGCACGTACGAGTAAGGGGTGATCCTATGTAAGAAAAAATGAGTCGAAAAATTTTTTCGTTTTCAAGAAAATCGAATTTGAAAATTTATCGAGTATATCGTTTATTGGATTCAGCTACAGTAGCCAAGGAAAAATTCTTCAACTCCGTTGTACCTTTCCACTTTTGACCTCGGTGGTAGCGTACACGCGGTTCAAATAACGTAGCGTGTCACGATACGAAAAATAAGGATTTCAACAGAATGACTTTTAAAACGACGGCGAGAACAATGTAGATACTCGCGGCAAGTAATTTCCACTCGATTAGTACCGGACACCTTTTTCCCCCGTACGAAAGAGCGACACACACACACACACATCACTCTTACGCTACACGGTCGCGACATCGCGTCGTCCCGTGTGCTTTTTTCCTTAAACAGACGAAGTTTAGTTAAACAGGCAAGCCGCACTCGGCGGCCGGTTTTGCCTACACGTGAGTGGTCACACGCCACCCGAACTTTCCGAGGGAAGAACACCGAGAAGACACACCGCCAAGGACGGCCCGATCTCACTAGCGACGCTACTTAATACGTGTACTCGACCGAGTGTGCAATTAATCACCGATCCGTGGGTAATTGGTGCCAGGGTACCGGGGATCGATCGGCACCGGGAACATCGACGTGTGTGCACGGGCCATTCAATGAAAGTTCCGCCACACCGTGCGTCCTGCCGACCTCCGAGACATCCGGTTAAAAGAGTGTTTCGTACGAAGGTGGCTGCCACTGCAAGGGGAATTACCCCGGCGAAGGTACACAAACGGACAAGAACGTGAAGATTTACGTTTACAGGCTGTGTTTTCGAAGAGGTAAATAGGATCACCTGACAAGAATCTGACTCTACGTTAGAAACTAGTTAGATTCACTTTTCACTAACATTTGCACTTGTTGGAGGAAATAAGTGCAGATTTTATAATACACGTTAAGTGCCGTTGACCGACGAAGCAAATTTAGTACACGTATATGAAAAATTGAGAAGTTTTAAGACTAGAGAAAAGAAGCTTGGTTTTATTGATATTTATTATGTAAACAGTATGCAGTGTAATAATTAAACAGCAGTTTCAATGCGTTTTATTGAAACAAAGAATGTCATGTTTCTACTAATATTTCCTCCCACCAGTGTTCTATCGTCTTCGTGACAATTTTTACAGAATTTTTCGACTCGGGATGCTGTGACGCTGCAAAAGGCAAACGAAACACCCACGGCGCTTAACGCGTTGAAAGATGAAACAGATACGAGATAAAAGTTGGAGTTGAACCTGACTGTTTGTAAAAGAAAGCAAAAACATTGTACCAGAAATTAATAAAAATTAGAAGAACGAGAAATAAATGGATAAATAAATTTCCTTCGAATCTCTCAACGTTTCAGCGTTTTCACTAACGATCCACGATCCCCAACGATACAACTACTATTTCTCGCAATTAGTATAGGCAAGCACAAATTTTCCCACGAGTCTCGACAATAAAATCCGCTTGCAAACGAAATCCTTGTACCTAACTCGAGCACGTAGACGGAGTCTTCGCTCGATGAGGGAAGGAAACGCAGCATGAATCGAGGGAAGAGGGAAAGTGAAGAAGGTAGTTGAGCGATTACCAGATATGTAACCAGATTAGAGTAGAACTGGTAGATGGGTAGATAGATATACATATATATATAATTGCGTCTCGACGTTTGAGCGACACTTCTCATTTATTTCGGTCGTTGATCCCACACAACCGAGTGTCATCTTGGCGCGTGTGACTCCCGACGAAAATGCTCGAGAATGCTGAATACAACCAGACCGATGCTAACGATATTTCCGCGTACGCCTCCTTCCCTCTCGATCTTTCGTAA